ATCGGTGATGAACCTGTGGGAGAAAGACTAGAGTCGCTTATCGGTTTGGGTTGTTGTTTATCAGCAGGAGACGCCTGAACTCGATTACGTGGCCCCTTGCGCTTTTGAGTGGTCCATGGATCCTCGGTGTTCAGAGGTTCACAGACAGGCTCTGAAAAATTCACGGACTGATCAGGGAAGCGGCATTTCGTATATTCCGAGTCAGAGTATTCAATCGGTGGGGAACACTGAACCTGAGGCTCGGCTGGGGTCGAAGACGCTAGTGGTGGTGCCGATAGCGCAGTGACAAAGGAAGGCGAGGTAGCAGAGATACTTTCACGAGGGCGTTTGACCACACGTGGTGAACGGTCTGTTTCTGCCTGGAAGAGAGGTTCTCCCGTAGTTGTTGGCGGTCGCTGTGAATTCCGATGTATTGCACCGCGACATTTATCACATACAATTTGGAAAAACCGATGTCGGATGTCGAGATTTTCGAAACACGTCAACGGAGAAGCCAATGCACGAAATATGGAACAAAACACCACAACCAAAGCACTGAAGTGCATGAACCTTATGTCCAACAACTTTCGAACACGAACCACAAGTAGCTTGAGATAGAGCAAATCCAAGATGGCGGACACAGATGGAAGGTGGGCCAATCAATGAGATCTCCGGAATTAGCCAAAGAATATCCACCAAATTTGCACCGATTGGAAAATACACCAATAGAAGAATATTGGTGCACAATTCACACAGAAAGAACACTTATAACAGTAATCTGAAAGAAAATTAGCATCCAGCACATGGTGATTCCAAAATCCGCGGCGTCCATGGGTACAGACAACTCAACCATTGAAACACAAGAAATAACAACTAAGAAACTTACGGCCGATGTCCATAAGACGGTATTCATTAATTTACTATTCAAAGCGGACCGAAATGAAAAAGGATTCCGATATCGTGTCCACCAGTCCATTAAGAAGTTATATACTGCACCAAGTTAAAAAAAATCTCTGCAAACCGGACCTGGACAGGCTAAACTCCAAATTTACCGCTTTTTCATCCACAGCCGATCTGAGGCTGTCCACGATTTCAGACGTCACACGTAGCCTTGTGGCAAACGGCCCAAGTCTGCCTGCTAGCTCCATATCTCGACATATCTTTGATTGCCCTACGTGCCAACATCCGCGGAAATCTCTGAGGATTATTAATCGACAGAGCAATTATCGTCTGCTTCAGTTTTTAGACGCTGAAACGCAATATATGTAGGCAGATGAAGTTTGTGACCACTCTCGACTAGCCAGGGTGAGGTTGTCGATTATCTTCATTTAAAATGAACTATTTTAGGGCTGGATTTACCATTGAGTGTAACATAGATTGTCTACAAACACCTGACGAGAAGACACGAAATATATGAAACCAGATTATTCAAATGAAATGCTAGTGTTTTTTGCTATTTTGAATTGTTAGGGTCCTACAATGTGTGGATAAACAATAAAGCTGAAAAAACTAATCGGAGGAGCATGGTCTCACATGTCCGCCGATGGATGCGACTTTTGCTTATGTTCGAAAACGTCTCCAACCAGGGGGGTGCTCGTTGTTCTGGCTTCCCCAGAAAGGAAGTCGAGAGTACCCAGACACTGCGGAATTGAAGATCAGTGCTTCCACAATTTGACGCCAAGTCACACACGTTGTTGCGCGCATAGAGGGCACAATGAAGTGATCGCTGGACAATCATGGGAAACAAGTGTCCAAGTCTGCAGTGAAAGTATGCAAATCATCGATCGAAAATGTGTTTGGCTTGAATAGCCTGTCACCGTTCATCATTAATACTAATGCCATCGTGCACTAGCAATAGTGGCCGAAAGCATAAAACACTTTCCATCTTTCGCGAATGTGCCAAGTCTCACAACTACAAGGCAGAACTGCTCGCACCGTAGCGCTGTGACCTTGGTATTTCAGGGAGTGGCCGAGGTCACGTTGGTGCAAGTTAGCAAAAGTAACCTGAGTCTTAAAACGCGTAGGGAGCATGTCTGTTAAGCCATTAGTATCAAAATATATCCGGAGGCAAATAATCTTGTCGACCACCTGTAAAGAATAGCTCGAAAGCGTGTGTCTTATGGCGTTTCCTGGCTGGTAAAATTTATGCGATATTATAGCGGCATAATGTCCAGCAGCGTGTTGGGCACCGAGTCGCAGACAGTCATGTGTCCACTATCTTCCTCGGCCTGGGCAACCGGGGAGTTATCCGCCCACACGACACACCAATCCATCGGTCTCTACCCATAGTGCCTCTTCTCCCATCTTTTTGGTGTTACCCATGTGATATGACACACTGCCAATTGTTTGATAGTCGAGCGTAGAATATATATATATATATATATATATATATATATATATATATATATATATATATATATATATATATATATATATATATATATATATATATATATATATATATGCAGTTGGCGACATGCGGTTCCGGATTAGCATGTCACTGTAGCCTCCATAGGAAAGCCACAGAACGTCTGCGCCTACAGAGGGACCATGGGGCGCTTGTGCTGCACCACTCACAGCTCCAACCACACACCCATATCCAGTATAAACCCGAAGGAATAAGATCGGGAGGCATGTGGATGGGAGCCACGTTTCATCAATGGAGCCGGCCCACACTCCTTCACAAGCAAACACAAGCACGCTGTATTTGGGGAATCAAGCGCACACAAGGCGGTGGCCGGACCGTAGTCCGCTCCACACTGAGTGCATGGAACCACACTTCGAGCATAGCACGGCCACGAGGACCGTGCACCCAGTCCCCTCCAGCAAAAACCATTGAGTAGGGCCGGTATAGACGACGTGGTGGGCAATAGACAGGTAGGCATCTAGTCAACATGCACATCAAGCGCAGCCACACCGGGGATGTCAAGCAGCAGCCAAACACATGAAATGAAATAACCAATAAAATAGGTCGAAAACACTATACAGATATGCCGATAAATTGGCAACTGTATAAATGGATTATCAACATAGCCGCGATAAACTGAAGATGGCAGATAAACAGATCAAGAAACATATGCAAAATGGAGAAAAAACGAAGTTAAGCACCACTCGTTTAAGTGACATATGCAAGTTATTAGTTTATTCAGGTAGACATTAAAATGAGATAATAAGACACGATAGCAAATCCGCCACCTGAAATCAAGAGACTTATCACGCAAGCACACCGTTAGTAAATCGAGGGCAGCGTACCTACAAACACTGCGCCGGTTCTGCCTACGTTCTCAGCAGCACCCGTCGGTGGTGGCCCCGAGTGGCCTCGCTCGTGGCTCACTAAACATGTCTGATTCAGGCACTCGTGACTGCATGTGCTACAGCACCACGCGCTCGACGGCGATGGAGTACAACCCATCGGCGCCTGCTGCTTCCGCACTTGCATCTTCTTCGCCGCATCCATGAGGGCTTTTTCTTGCACCTCAGCAACCGCCTTTGTAATCAGGTCGCGCTATGCACGCCGATCAACCGCTTTCGATTCCCATGATCTGAAATCAACATTAGAAAGTGATAGGCACACTTTGATCATGTCCTGATAACGTAACTTCGGTTTACCAACGTGCCGCTTCCCTACACTCAGCTGGTCATACAGCAGCTGTTTCGGTATCCGCGTCGAATCCGAACGCCACACATGATCGAGCCACCTATGTCGTTTCCGCAAAAGTATACAGTCCACTGCATACATTCCACTTCGGTGCAACACCTCCGTCTTTGCAACACCGTCGCACCAACCGATGCGAAGAATCCGTCGCAGACGCTGTTGGTGAAACCGCTCGAGATATTGCACATCTCGCCAGTACGTTGTCCGCGTTTCACTGCCGTATAGAAGAACGGACAGCCGGTGTGCAAGCGTTAATCGACACAACAGCACCACTGACTTTAGGTGTAAGTGCCAGAGCTTCCGATTACGACTGGGAAAGAGATTCCATGCAGCAGACGGTGCCTGTCTGATTGAAGTCCAAGAAACTGTTTAGCAGACAAATAAGTTAATGGCAGGGGATAAGCAGTTTGATATTCAGGTGCGTCCAAATCGTTGTTATTGGCCCAAAATGGTATGTTGATAGGGAGGATGACGATTTCAACAAAGCACACTCTTGTGCAGTGGTGTTTTGAACTCGGTTCCACCGACTATAGTGGAGAGCGGGCCGCATTATCGAATTCTAGCGTCGCAAGGTATTTGGAAATTAATTATAAGCCTGATGAGCACATCACAGAAGCGCGAGATACCATCCATCTCAGAATGGGCGTTTTAGCATTCCAGATGACGAGAGGAACGAGGCCAAAGGAATGGTTCTGCGGTGGATGTGATAAGACGCCTAACTTGGGGTGAACGAAAACAGCAATAGCAGACGAGCCTCTGGTGTGTGTGCCCGTGATGCTCTGCTTACCTCGGCACATCCATGGTGCATGAAAGCAAAACAATCCCAATGGGGTAGTTGTGTTGGATACGCCCTTGAAATGGATGGATATAGCTCCGGTAGCGTGACGCTGCTTGGGTGTCTGGTGCGGCGCGAAAACTCGAGATGTGGCCCCACCCTGATCTAGAATCCTTCTGAGCTGCTATATCAGCAGTGCAAGCAGCAGCTGGTTGCATCGGTCAGACGGGGTACCAGATATCTGAAAATCCAACTGGAATCGATCGAGTCGTCGTTCTGGAAATCAAAGCACGAACTATCTGGTCGGATCGTCATCCGGTAGCTAAGGCGATCGTGCAGCGACAATCAACATCGACCAATTATACCGTTGTGCGAAGCGTTGCCCGTGACCCAGTGGCTTAAGGGGTATCGGTCACAACTAATATCCCGATGGTCCCGGGTTCCATGCTTGCTAACTCTATCTGATGAGATGTAATAACATCGAAACGCGTCATAGTAGTGCAGTGTTTTCGAGCGGGCAACACCCAACTTCTATTTGAATCGACCAATGATGTTTCAAATCAAAAATGATAATCCGAATATAATCCTCACCAGCATTTCGTGTGGTGTTCAATGGACGCCGGTTTATGGTGTTGTTCTCGGTCCCGGGAGGGACGGACACGACGCGAGCCCTTTCGCTACCCTCCTCTTGGTTGACCAGTAGGACATGAATAGGAGTGGTATAGCTTTTGACATGGACCTATAAAGAAAATATATCGTTAAAAATGACGTTATCCAGTTAGGATTACGAACACACAATGATAACTAAAGAATACGAAGACCCTAAAGATCGCTGTTTGCTCGCGAGAATGCATGGGAATATTTCGAGGCCTAAGTGTACATCGATAACAGAAAATGTTTTCAAAAATTACACTACAAACGCCATGGCGTATTTTCAGTAGCGGCGAAGAAATAGGCAATAGTACGGCAGATTTCGAAGACGAGCCTATGTCATTCCGCGTACGCTAAATCTTTTCATGACGTGGATTTAAGCTGTCATAGTCGCCTGAATAACGATGATCGTTTGCATCAAGATTATGTCGATTTTACCAGTACTCTAAGCCAAAGTACCACTTCGCCTGTTATAGAACTGGATCAATGAGATTCACTTCGGAAACTAGCTACTTTGTGGCAAACACAAAATCCGTTGCCACAATGAAGTGTATTGAACTGCTGTTTTAAGAAACAAAGTTATCTTTCCCCAATTCTATGTGCCAGTAGCTCCACTTACTGGCAGAGATCTTCGAAGTAACAATATACAGGTAGATATGGATCCCGTCAAACCATGTGGCGACTGTCAACTGTCGTCAGAGTACTTTGTGCGGAATCATCAAGACAACAGCATTTTTATCTGTTGCCTCCAAACTTCTCACGGGTGTCATTTTCTGGTGACTTACTGATCCCCGTGAGAACCTAATCAATGAAAACCAGGCTAGCTTCCGCCCTGGTCGTGGTTCTATCCATCACATATTTACTCTTTACCAAGTTTTAGAGCAAAGACACATACAGCCGACTGACTATGGTGGTTTTCTTTGAATACGCCTTCGGACCATGGAAATAAAAATGGAAATAGCAAATACAATGGTTGCGCAAAAAAGAAATGTATACCCTCCACAAACTGTTCCCCACAGTCTCATTCACACATACTCCCATGTACTCACATGTACTCCCATGAAAAGCACTAGATCTCCATTTAGTCCCATTGGGACTCCACAGTTGTGCACATCCTCTAGCTTTTTTCAAATTTATGACCCGTCGACACCAACGGCCACGAGTGACGGTTGCAGTCCGTAATGACTGGTAGAGTGACTGCGTTATAGCGTGGCTCATCCATCGCTGTCATTCAAGTTACGAACTTTGCGGAGAACAAGGTCGCTTTATAAAGCTGCGACTTCCCATGCAGTGGCTATGTATGACTTGGTATTCAGAAGCTACTCGGGCGGATTTGTCTCCGCTGATTTTAAGAGATAACTTCAAACGCATGGATTTATTCACACAGTCACTCCACTGTATCGAGTATCGCGCCATGTCTTTCAGTACTCCATGCTAACAACGTTCTTCATAACGGGTCATCGATGTATAAACGGTGAATCAGCGACTACTTCTTTTGCAACCAAGCGAAAGGCTGACCATCACGCGATCTCTCGCTGCGCGGTCATGCGCGAACAGATTGTGTTGTGATTAGCGGTCCCGTGGAATGCATAGGACGTAATCGAGCCGCTACAGTCAACGCACCGAGATAGATCTATTGAAAGGGAAATCGGCGTTTTCCAAGCTAGTGTCTGATTCCACCGCCTTGAACCCGGTATTATCATCACACGAGAGCAGCTCAAAGCAAATACACGTTGTGAAAGGTCGAAACCCTAAGTAGGAAATTTACACATCTCAGTAAGAACTGATTCCCATAAATGCCGCGCGAGCAATGGAGTTGCAAGCCATGCACTTTGACAAAGGAGAGACATTCCGGACCAGAAAACGCTAACCTAATTTTGACGAAACAAAGAGATACTTCATTTTCGGCAGTGCTGGTAGCTAAAGTTCCCTATATGTTCAATATTGGTTGCAGTTCTGGGAACGCAGTTTGCGATTCGAGAGGACAAAATATAGTAACGATAAGTTTAAGTGCTATCGTGTGCTTCTCATTCGATAAGAAATATATTTCTTGGCACTCGTATAAAGTTGTCCGTAAGGTAGACAACGGCTGCTATCATTTTGTTTTGAGTAGTATCATATACATTGCAATAGGCAACCAATACATGGAGTGAATTTTGACGGTATGGAATGGAGATAGAACACAAAATAATCGCAATTGCCACACGCCCGCAGGCATAGACTGATGTGTCCGCATTCATGACCGGAGTGCGGATATTGCAATGAGAGTTAGTAGTCCACTGTATATGTTAAAATTAAACAACTAGTAAGAACTTTCCCTGTGACAGAAATAGAAGCATATAGGAAGGGGTAGTTACGAACCGAGTCAATAGCAAACACGGTATCGTTGCAAAACGGCGGATGAGAAACATGTGATCAGACATTAGTTCGGATAATAAGTGCGACATTAATGTGTAAGCACCGGCAGTACGCCGGTACGCAGTACCGACGCTTCGTTGCCGTGCAACAACCACCGGTCGCACGTCGGCTAATGCTATTGCGAGGGTCGCACTGCTCCTACGAGGCTGGAACCCGTGCCGTCAGATTAGAACACACGCTCGTTAGCTTTAAACTAAGGACCGGCACACGATCACCACGAGTCGCAGGGGTGCCTGCGCGAGATCGGATCAGTGACATGTGAATTACAAATCAGACACTACCGAAGCACTCAGTCATCGGCCGACAGTGAAGTCTAGTTTGTATTATCCTCGAATCGTGTAGCGAGCCGCCATCCGTGGAAACAAAGATGCATGGCAATCATTATCGTGGATTAAGTGACGTACACATCAGATGAACGCGAAACAGACTAACTTTATAAGACCGCTTGGGTGTGAATAGCGATTGCACCGGTTGTTCTACCGGGTTCTCGGGAACTGGTGCTTCCAGACGCGTGCCGGGTGGTGCACGGATAAGCAGCATCGTACGATCTTGAAAGATATTTATAAGATCTTGATGGGTGACATAGGCATATTGTAAATTGTCCAAATCTTCCTGCACATTCTTCAGTGATTGCAGGACTTTGGATCGATGTTCGTCCACCTTCTTTTCCAAATTTTCCAAATATTCAACTTCAGCCTGAAGTTCATCTAAGCGAGCCTGTATGTCTGGCCCGTTGGTAGAGGCACTGCCACCCCTTTTAAGGACAAATTGAAAGCAGGGCAAGAATACTAACGGAAGTAAAGAAGTATGAACTGATGCTATATTCGACCAGAAGATGGAATGCGAAACAATCATGAACACGTAAAACGAAGGACCTCTAATAAAACAGGTGACATAAACGAAATGTTCGTTACGAGAGTATATGCAGATAACCAGTCGCGTGCGAGGTGGTGACGCTGCGTGGTCGCTTGCGCCAACGTAGATCCGAACCTGTGGATCACAAGTAACGCCGGAACTTTTGGGTCCCGGCTGTGCGGTGGACCCGGACTAAATAAGAAGGGGAAAAGTGCGGCAAATCACACATACATAAAACCGTCACGAGAAAAGACACACAGGTCAATGACAAGAAGCAAAACATCATGTGAAACGGCACGACTGACCTGCCGATTGCAGCATATGGGATAAAATGTCTAGTCCATCGCGACGCTCCAATGCAAGAGGATAGCATGTATCAACCCGACCAGTCATTTTAGCTGATCTTTTAATGCTTTTGTGAATTTAACAGCTGGTCACTCTAAGGGTTCACTGAATGAATCGGAGTCCATAAACAACCCGCTTCCAGGAGGCCATCAACGAGCATAATGGGGACAACACCGGACCAAAGTGGGTGGGGCTCAAGTGCAAGTGATGATTTGAGATACTCGAGAACATGGGTAGTTAGATGCGAGAAGCTGTTCACAGATCAAAAAGCGTTACAATCATTTTATGTAATCGCATAATTAATTTATAAATGCGTGTACGAATTTCATGTTCATGTGAGCAGCACAAAGTAATCCGAATTATTTGTTCGGTTTTGACTTAAGCATGAACTGGTGTTCTTCACAAACTGATGACAGATGTTCGGGTAGGGAAGAAAATGAAACGAAAGGGGCTGTGGGGCAAAATGTGATATGCATGTGTTCATTTAGCCCGGATACATGTGTCGTTTGTAATTTTGTCACACACTACAGCAACCGTCCTCGAAACTGTGATCCATGAATTGTGATGTCCCAAACATCAATTGCGTTTTGAATGGTCAGCTGCCCACGAGCTTGAACTTACGCACTATACAACGTGTCTTGATATCCAAATCTAAAAGTAGCGGGTTGGAAAGAAGCATTTTCCGATTTTCGTAGTGAACTTCGGAATAGTGACCACTGATTCCTTGTTGCGTACCGGGTATCTAGTGTTCAAAAATGTGTAAAAGCCGCTACCGAACAGTGTGCATGATGGGTTATGCTCATCTATAGGAAACACGGATTAAGCTTTATTCTCCGAAGCAAGACTGCGTCAACTCCAAACTTGCCGCAATGCTTCTGCATGTCATCTTTGGGGAATAACTGCTTACCTTTATCGAGAGCTCTCAAAAGCAGCTGGTCATGCTTTTGCAAATTTGATTGGACTACTGGACAATATTGCGTACTCAGTAATAAATGCACTTCGTAGAACAAGCTGCGAGATTTCGTGAGATAGAGTGATGGCATATGTATCCGATGGTCTTCATGGCCTTCGATACTTGAAAGTCATAATGTTCAGAAAAGTGACAGGTAATGGAATATCACACGCCCAAGTCGCGAGCTGCCCTGCATTGCGAGATGTATGTGCCATGCAGTAATAGACTGTCTGGCGGTACTTAGCATTTGTACGACAAAATACTACAGTTAATTGTTCATTTGTTCTCCGAGCTTGGCGGTTTTCTAGCAAACGTTTCACCACCATGCGAGGTGGCATCCTCAGTGCAGTGATATGTAGCGTACAAGCTTACTAAATGAATGCTCCCTCCATGATCGACCTGCAGGTGACTTTGAACGTGGCAGTGTCGATTTTAGGTCTCGTGACCTCTACCCACTTTCCCCAAGGCTAAAGTCGGCGCCCGAGTTGTTCTGCCTCAAACGGCATGACAACAACAACAACAACAGCAGCAGCGGCAACAACAAACACAACAACAACGACAACGGAGAAACGGGTTGTTCTGCCTTATATGAAGAACATATCGGAAATGGCAGCCAGACTATTCAAACAGCATCATCTCATCGTAGCACACAAACCAACTGCCACGTTGAGAAAAACCCTTTCAAAACCAAAAGAAAAACTACGGGCACATGAACAACGCAATGTGGTATACAAAATACCTTGCCGAGATTGCGAAAGGGATTATGTTGGCCAAACGGGAAGAAAATTGGTAACAAGGATACAAGAACATAAGAGAGCCTGTATAAAGCATTATGCATCGTCGCTAGTTTCAATACATGTAGATGAAGAAGGACATAGCTTCGATTGGAGCAAAGCAGAAGTCCTGGCACGGGGTGAAACAAGAAAAGAAAGAGAATTCTTGGAAGCTTGGTTCTCAACGAAACATTCAATCAACATGCGTGTGGACATCGATTCAATATACGAACCACTACGACAGAAAGAAATAAAGAACCTTTTGTCACGCCGTTTGAGGCAGAACAACTCGGGCGCCGACTTTAGCCTTGGGGAAAGTGGGTAGAGGTCACGAGACCTAAAATCGACACTGCCACGTTCAAAGTCACCTGCAGGTCGATCATGGAGGGAGGATTCATTTAGTAAGCTTGTACGCTACATATCACTGCACTGAGGATGCCACCTCGCATGGTGGTGAAACGTTTGCTAGAAAACCGCCAAGCTCGGAGAACAAATGAACAATTGATTCATCAACCCGAGCTACCGGTATTTCGAATCATTTTAAATACTACAGTTGTTCACGATAAATGACATCTGTCACGTGTGGCGCCAGCATGTAAGTGTACGTATGTCATTCTGTATGAGGCTTACGGCTTCCCAGGTATTTACATTCTTGTAAGTAGACGATTTAATGTCACCAGCAAACAGAAAAGCAGCATCATTCATTGGAATACATTGTTACCTATATGAGAAAAAGTACCGGTCCAAGATTGCATCGAAGTACTCCACTAACGAATGTTACGGTTCAGAGACCTAACGAAGTTCTGTTAATCAGGTCCAGAAAGCCGCACTGATGGTGTTGCTTAGCCTGGCAATGGACCACCTGTAAGTTAATCAGGCAGCTAGGGGAACAACTCAAACTCCGCAAAATCCGGTGATATTATCAACAACAAACTGGTAGTAACGGTACATATTTCAGTGCATCAGGTGAAATTTGCGAAGCTTACAGCACTTGTTTTGCCGAATCAATGGTTAACGAATCATTAGACACACAAGCTCTTATCATGCCGCGAAATTGTGAAAGTCTATGCAAACTGGTATGCACTACCGCGAAGATCAGCTCAACTTGGACAGGGCCTTGTTTGGTGAAAAGGAGTGACTTGCCTCTGCTATTGCTCAATATCCCTACAATCTCTTTTAACAACGGAGTATGTCCCACTCAATGGATGACTTCTGTTCTTATTCCGTGACATGAAAATGGAGCCGCTCACCAGACTAAACCTTTCGTCCCATCAATCACACCCATCGTACCTAGAATAATGGAAATATAGTGAACTACTTATGTTCTAGAATGAGGCCAACATCATCAGCAATTCGCAGCATGGCTTTATGTAAGTTCAATCCCGAACAACATACCAAACGGACTTTTTAAGCCACACAACGACTGCTATAGAGAACGGAGACAGTGTTGTAAGCTTGTTTCTGGAGATGCAAAAAACCTTTGATTGAGTGCCTCATCGAAGGTTATCCAAGAGACTGAAGGCCATAAACATTGGAGATCCGATGTTTCCTTGGCTATCTTCATATCTAATTGGTAGACACCATGTGGTGCACATCGGCGACCATTTCTCTAAACCAAAAGCAGTCACCAGTGGAGTAACTCAAAAAAGTGTTCTTGGTCCACTTCTTTTTCTCATAATTGTTAACGATGTATGCCAGAGAATAAGAAATGGTGCTAGGTTTCTGTTTGCTGATAACATTAAAGTTGTCTACTTACAAGTACGTGCAAATACCCAGGCAGTCGTACGTCTCATCCAGGAGGAACTATGTGGACTTGAGTTCTGGTGCCAAATGTTGATGTCATTTGCCGTGGACAAATGTAATATTTTGTGCAAATCCCAAGTACCGCCAGACAATCTATTACTGCAACACACACATCTTGCAATGCAGAGCAGTTCGCGACTTGGGCGTGCAATTTTCAGTTACTTTAACATTTCTGAACATTGCGACTTTCAAGTTTCGAAGGTCATGAAGACCACTAGATACATACGCCATCATTTTTGTCTCAAGGAATCGCGCATCTGGCTTTACGAAACACAGGTATTGCGTTTTGTGGAGTACTGCTCATCGATATAATCGAATCTGCGAAAATCCGACCAGTATGCTCTTGAGAGGATCCAGCGACGCTTCACGAAAATGCTATGTGGCTATACTTCAAAGATTACAGAGCGTTATGATAAGCTTGGATTTGACCCAGTCTGGCTTCGGAGAATGAAGTAGACCTTCTTTCTTTGCAAGATGATAAACCATAAAATTCACATTTCTGATGACGGCGTTCACATGTGAATAAACAGCAGATACCAGATCCACAGCAAAGAGATAAAGGTCACGATTCAAAAATTTAGTATGAGAATCAGAGAACGATTTTTTCAAATTCACCACTCAAAGATTTGGAACATATTTCCAAGAGATATCAGAGCATGCTGTACAGTGCGTAATTTTAAGCATGCGATTATCAGGCAGTTAACCATCCAAAACGCGATTAATATCTTCAGGATATCACAAGCTCTAAATGACACTTTTGAGAACGGTATCGATGGGCCTGACTAAATTACGAACAACACATACATAGATATTTTGGATAACAGCCCCTTTAATTTTATTTCATTTTTTCTTGATCCGAACGTCTTCATATGATTGTGAAGAGCCCTAGTTCAACGACTTTGTGTTACCTGAATACGAAATTTGTGACCATATTTTTTTGAAAAAATATTAATGCAATAGCAAGAAAAGGATGTAACAATTTATGATCTGTTCCTTCTAAGGAACAGACTCTCACTTTTAAGCAGA